CGGCACGCGGCGGGCCCCGAGCCCTGCGCGCGCGTCTGTCTGTTGGCTTGGTGTGGGCGTGAATGAATGCGTAAACGTCATGCAAGAGTGGGTCACTGGCTGCTTATTACGGCACCTGTGATTGGCTGATCCAGAAAGAAATATAAGAACGAAGTCAAGTGACCTTTTGTGGGCTCGGTACCGGTTGTTGCGCACCTCGAATCGACATTCTACGTGTCCGCATGCAAAAATACCCAGTTCTCCATATCTGTATAACTTGAAGAAGTCGGACAATGTTGGTTGATTACCTTACCAAACACGGTAGCCCCTGGGAAGCCATTTTTGCACAGAGAGCGGTTTTGAAGTGAGTTTGAATAGCGACATTACTGTTGGTCTTTTTTCAGTTATGCTATCACCTGTCATCCCACAATACCGGATGATCCCAACAGTCCGCACACTTGTCAGTGTCGGCCTGGCTACGCTGGCGAGGTCTGCGACAGGTGTGACACTGGCTACTACGGTGATCCACTGCTGATGGTGCCCTGCAAGCCCTGTGGTTGCAATCCCTCCGGCTCAAGAAGCCAACGCTGCAACATGAAGACTGGCCAGTGCTCCTGTCTGCCCGGAATCATGGGAAGAAAGTGCGATGAATGTCGACCGGGACACGTGGTTGACGGAGGACGCTGTATCGGTGAGTCTGCTTCTTTTTTGTTTTATTGCGCCCTCGCTGACTCACCCTTTGTCCACCGAAGTACATGACCTACTCACCCCATTTATCATATTTATCGGGGAATAATACTGACCCAGGGTCGGGGCACTGTTCCGGACATTTCTCACTCCGTAGGCTTCAGCAGGTGGCGGGCAGCGACAACACGAACGTTGCGAAGGTATGCCCGATGTCCGGGGTATGTATGGTAACTTAGGAGAGGTGATATATTCTCCTGCCCTCAATTGGCGTTTGTTGAATGCGCATAGGGGCGATTTTTTCCGGCTGGCCACAATAAATAGCATCGCACGCTCCACATTTTGTAGACAACTTCTTTCTTCGTAATTCTGCGAAAATTCCCATTTTACGATTGAAAGATCACATTGGCAAACATATGTTTTCGGCAATTCATT